GTCTCATCTGTATAATGAGAATGATAACAGCATCTACTATTGTTGTGAGAGGTTGTGGCTTTAATGAAAATATGTTCAGCTTTGAAATAGAGCTTGGCATGTAGGAAATCCTGAGCACTAAAGCCATTAGGTACTAATGAATAAGAAACTATTAGGCTTTTTTTTTTAACACTCCTAAAGCTATCACAAATAATGTCTGAATCAATGTAAACAGAAGGCTAAAATGACATAAAAACAGATGGGGGCAAGGGACTGAGGGGGGAGCAGCAAATTTGGAGTCAGGCAATCCAGGTTCTTAATGTCCAATAACAGGGGAATGACCATACCAACAAAGATATCACTCCATGAGCAGCATATGCAGTCTTTTAAAATGCACAGAAACAGGGTGGCTGTTAGCTCAGTTGGTTAGAGCGTGGTGCTGATAACACCAAGATTGCCGGTTCAATCCCCACATGGGCCACTTTGAGCTTTGCCCTCCTTAAAAAATAAATACATACATAAATAAAATGCACGATAAAGACCATGTATGGACATGGGGAAATACTTATGATACAATGTTAAATAAAAAACAACACAGGGCCGGCCGAGTGGCTCATTGGTTAAGAGTTGGCTTGGGAGCACGAACTCTGAGCAGCAGGGCCGATGGTTCGAATCCCACATGGGCCAGTGACACTGCACCCTCTACAGCTAAGGTGGTGAACAACAGCTTGACCTGGAGCTGCACTGCTGTGAGTCGCCAGCGATGGCATAGGCTGCAGTAGGGCTGCAGTGGGCTGCCGTGAGCTACTGTGAGTGGCTGGCAGCCAGTGTGTGCGGCTGACAGATGGTGTGAGCTGCCGTGAGCCTCCATGAGCAGCTGTCCAATGGCCAGCGTCCGATCTGCCTCAGCCAGGAAGAGTGCAATGATCACAATACCAACATGGGCCAGTGAAGCGACATCCTCCACAACTAGACTGAAGAACAAAAGGATAGCAACTTGTCTGTTCCCCTTCCCCAATGCTATTATTCCCTTCAATTCCCCAATAAAATCTTTAAAACACACACACACACACACACACACACACACATACACACACACATTACATTTAAAGGATAATCCCAATTACATTGTTTTTAAAAGTGAAATTTAAAAAAAATAATAACTAAAAATGGTAACCTATGAGCTTAGGGATAGTGTTTTTCTCCTTTATGATTTTCTGAATTTTTCAAGTTCCCAGGGAAAAAAACCCATAATCATTGTATATAATAATAATGTTTCGATCATTTAAAAGAAAAAAAAAGATTATGTAGGGTACCAGATGGGTACTGGACTTATCAGGGGGATCACTTCATAGACTGTGTGGATGCCTGACCACTGTACTATACAACTGAGGCTGAAGTAGAATAGCACTGAATGTCAACTATAATTAAATATATACATATATATTTATATACATAATACTATAATTAAAGATATATACGTGTGTATATATATTCACGGGATGTAAAGTTCAGCACAGGGAATATAGTCAATGGTATTGTAATAGCTATATACAATATCAGAGGGGTAGTAGACTGGGGGGGGTTATGGCTTTGTGAGAGGTGTAAATGTCTATTACATTGCTTTGTATACCTGCAACAAATAAAGAAATAAAAATAAAATAAAAAATTGAGTCATCCTGATGTTAATAGCTTCCTGGTAAGAGATGTGGTCAGTCACCTTAGAGCTTAATTCTCAGAAAGCTTTTAGCTGAAATGTTCCCTACCACCAACAGATAGCTGTTAGAAGTTCTTCTGGTCCACCCCAGCAAAGCTGATAATCACTCCTTTGTTCCACATCTATATCCAATAAATAAACTGCAATTGTAGCTAACATACTGTATCATCATTTATTTGTTTGCATATCTTAATCTTGAACTTGAGATGGATTCCTGAAAAAAAAGACTGACTTATTTATCTTTGTTTCTCTATCACCAATGGTATTACAACCAATAGTATCTTATTGCAAACTCCTTTATCAAAGCCTTCTAGGAGTCCTTATATACCAAAGGTCTGCAAACTACAATAAAGAAGGTGGGGACTAAATCCAGCCTGCTTTGTACAGCCCCTGAGTTAAGAGTGTTTTTCATTTATTTGTTGGTTAAAAAAAAAAATCAAAGAATAATATTTTGTGATGTAAAAATTATATGAAATGTATATTGTGTCTATAAATAAAGTGTTATTGGAACACAGCCATGCTCATTTGTTTCCATATTGTCTGTGACTGCTTTTGTGCTACAACAGCAGTTAAGAAACTGAAACAGAGACGCAAAGCCTAAAGTATTTACTATTTGGCTCTCTACAGAAAAAGTCTGCTGACCCCCCGTTATGGATCAAATAAAGAAGAGGAAAAGTGGCACATTTAAAATTTACAGAGGGAGTTATGCACCAAACATAATGAGAAAAAGAAAAAAGTTATACACTGTCACTGACTCTGCAGATAGATAAAACTTAATATAAGAACAATTAAGGGAAAGAATGGGATGGAAGTTCAAGGCAGAGAAAACAGGGAGTGGAAAAGCTAGACACTCTAACAGGCATAACTTGTATAAAGACCAGGGATACCTGAAATATGGCAGAGGCATAGGCAGAGTCAATTGGGGCAAAGGGTGTGGGTGTATGTTCCAGATGAGATTGTAAAGACAGGCAATAAAAATGGGTTGTGAAATACCTTGCATGCAAAATTAAATTAGAAACCTTTATTTTGTGCACCCATATATATCACCCTATATTTCCTCTACTGGACTTTTCATACCTCAGCATGGTTGTTTAACTGTCTGGCAATTATATATTTCACTAGTTCATTCACTCCCCCAATCCCCAAACCTCCAAAGCTTCCACTCATAGCATCACCCTCAGATTATGACCTGATTCCTACCCTCACTGAGAAAACTGAAGCTATCAGAAATTTCCAAAATTTTCCATTATCCTTTCTATCCACCTACGTATAGCCGTTCCTTAAGGTAATGTTATATTGGGTTGTCGGAAAAGTCATGACACATTTTTGCAACGAGAAACAGAAAAAATACATCATGACTTTTCCGACAACCTAATACAATGTGCTATTTCAGCCTAAACTGAAGACTCTGTTTTCATTAGAAATCTGAGCAATAAAAGTTTAAATGGAATCTGATATTAACTACATTTTTAATTTAAGATTTATTTCTTGGAAAAAGAGGTGAAGAACATATTTGGCTGCTGACTTGAAAGAAACCCTGCCCAGCTACATCACTAGCTTCTCAACTAATAAAAGCACTATAAAATCAAGCCTTTTAACTTAACAAGGGGTAAATTATAAATGTTCTCTTCTCTAGTATTTTAAAATTTACTGAAGGTAGTATAATAATAAAACAAAATACTATGATTTAACCTAAAATATGATTTAACCTAAATTTTATGACAGTATTTCTTGCTAAATGGGAAAATAACAATGCAATGGTACCCATATCTTTTATTATATATAACAGGATCCTAAAAGCTAGCGCTTAAAACTATTTCTAATCCAATTAACTCATATGCCAGTAAAGGTTACCATTTAGTAGTGTATCACAAAATTATTTTACAAGACCATCCTCTCAATCTCAAAGGCAGAGACTGTAAATTGTACTCATCTTGGTAACTCTCTTGGCACACAGTTTAGTGTGTGGAATAAGAAAGATATGCAAATAAACATGGAATGTACTAATAAATTTACTTTTACCCTGAATGTAAGATTCCCTTAAACTAAAACCCCATTTGAAGGAAAATACACTTAAACAGCACATACTCAAGGTTTCATGCCTTGTTCGTTTGATTTTAATCCAAATACCCTAAGAGCACGTAAGTGCTCTAATAATCTCCTCTTGCATGGAGTCTTCCCTAAAAATATGTAATATCGCTCTCTGGGGCAGATCCAAAATATAAAGCACCAGAATTTGGAGTCTGGCATCCCCCGGGGTTGGAATCTCAGCTCTACCTATTTGCTAGCTGAGATCTTAATAAGTGCCTTAGCCTCGTTGCCACCTATTTCCCAACTCTGCCCAACTGGAATAACCCATCCAGCTGATGCAGCACATCCCTTTATGCACGGCGGGGATCGTGGTCTCACGGCACCGACCAAAGAGGCAAGGTTTGCAGGAAAGGCCCGTTGTTTAATGAAAGAAGCAAGTTAACAGCTCCCCAGGGAGGCGGCGGGGGGGGTTACCCAACCTTGGGATGCCCACTGGCTCAGGCCAAAGACTTTTCTGCTGTAATACGTTTCCCAGCATATCTGGGGATAAAAAAAAAATTTTTAAAAAGCTGGTGCTGCCGTGTCCGATTTGTTCTGCAGCCTCGCCTGGCGGAGGGTTTTTTAAAACGGCCCCGCCGTCCCACGGCAGTCACGGGTGATCCGGCTCCGGCAGGAGTGCGTGGGGCTCTCAAGGCTAAGGCCGAGGGGCTTCGAAGGAAGACGTGCCTGTTTCCCGCTCCCTCTCCCAGGGGGCTCCCGACGCCGGCTGTTCTGCTCCCTTAACCGGCCTCACCGCCTCGCAGGGCGGCCGTCGCGAGGACTGAACGGGCCGATGCCGAGCCCGGCTCTCGGCTGGGCGCCCACCACCCACACCCACACCCTCACCCACACCCACACTCCCTCCCTCTCCTCCCCTTCTGTTCCCTTTCGGAACGCCCTCCCTGAGGAAGGTAAACGCGATCCTCTCCACGCTCGCGGGCGTACGTGTTTTAAGAGGCATTATCTGCGCCTCAGGAGCCCCGGGGGAACCCTCCTTCGAGCTCTCGTCGCCTAGAACCCAGATCAACGCCCCCAGCCGCCCTGGCTTTCCTAACCGCTGACATCTTTTCACGCCGCGAGTGGTTTCCTGTGTGTTTTCGGAATCGGGGTGTTCCGCTCCCCCCAACTCCCTTCAGCGCGCACGGTAATGATCGGCACGAAGCCCCCCTCCCCTTCCCGCCCCCCCAGGAATAACGGGGGATAACAGGACCCAGCTGTTCCGAGTGGGACTGACTTCCACAGCCTTTCCGCGCTTCGCTAACGACGCCTTCATGATGAAACGACCACGTCCACCCCAACGCGGCCTCGCGGCCGTCCCACGGCGCGTCCCAGGTCCCGGGCGGGTCCTCCTCGGCATCAACAAACCAACACCCTGGGAGGAGCCAACAGCATCCCCCACGCGCGCCTCCTGCGCGCTGAGGAAGCGCTCCGGGTGCTCCTTGGCTCACCTGCTCGGCCTCCTTCCGAAGCCCGCGGCCCCCCACACCTCAGACCCCCGCCCCCCTGCGCCCCTCACGCCGCCCCCCCTCTCTCACCACTCACTCTGCGGCCGCCTCTGGCCGCCCCGGCTCGGCCCCCGCATCCCCCAGGAGCGGCTTTCCTCACCTCCGGGCCCGGGCCGCAGTGCCGTCAGGCCGGGACGCGCTCAGTCTGCGGAGACCAGGCAGAGGACGGCGCTCCGAAAAGTGTGTGAGGGCGCGGACCCGCGCGCGCGTCCCCGCTGCTGGGCCCCCTGCGCCCCAGCGCGGCTGGACCGAAAACGCTCCGGCCAGAGTAGCGCTCGCCGCCGGAAGCCCGGCGCCGCCTCCAGCTCGACGCACCTGAGGGCGGGGCTCCTGCAAGACGGGGCCGCGAACGCGCGCGCTCCCGCCACTCGGCCCCGCGCGTCCGGGCGCAGGCTGGGAGCGGCGCGCCTGGGAGGGGGGAGCGCCTGGGGGCGGGGCCTCCAGGGGGCGGGGCGAGTGGGACCCGCCTAGGCCCGGATCCCGCGCGCGCCTCAAGCCGCGGAGCCCTGGGACTCCCGCGTCGAGTGGCTCAGCGCCAGGGTCGCCGGCGTAACGAATCTGTCTCCTCCGTAGAGACCTCACCACGCTCGCCCCTGAGGCACAGGCAGAAACAGCCGGCTTGAAGTCAGGAGCTCGGGTGTGATTGCAAACCCTGCCTCCTCCTACCTGGGTGACCTTGGCCTCACATCTAGTTTTAAGAATCCGTTCTTTTCTGTTTCCCGGCTTTTGAACGGTCCTCTCCCAGGACTTCATTTCGAGTCACTCCGCACCCCCTTCTCCTTTATGCCGCAGCGTCTGGGATGCGGTGTCCTTGTTTTCGTAACTGCTGCCTCGGTCCCCCATCAGACACCGACCTAGGACTTCTGGACGTTGAGGATGCTTTAAGTTTCTGAAGTGTCCTCATGAAAATCTGGGAAAGGGGCAGATCCTCAATTTTCTAAACGGTCTGAGACAGATGGCATCCGTGAGAGATTCTATATCACACGTTTTCTAAAAATATAAACTGGTGTTTTGAATTTTATTACCGAAAGTGACCTAAATGGTGGTCAAAAGTGATTGTAAAGAAAAGCTCACAACTCTGGCATTACAGATTTTCCTCTCCAGATTTCTGTATGGTCACATTTCTTTGCACAATTCTTTACTTTGGGAAATTTAACTAAAGAATTTTTTTAATTTTGTCGATCCTAAGTACACCGTGTATTTTTTTAACTTATTTTTGTTTTTCTGCTTAAATTTAAGCCAAAGCTGCCCAACAGTCACAATGCTAAGGTATACAAAAAAAAAAATCAAGAAATCAAGTTTTATTTATATTGCCAAATTTGGATTAAGTAGTAAATTCAAGAAGTTTAGCAGAATCCGTGATGATTAAAAATCTGGCAGTGAGAGCTGGAGAAAGGGAAATAGACTGTTCTAGAAAGTCCATGGGAAAACTGAACAAGGCAGGTAATGAAAACTATTCATGATATATTTTTCTCTTTTGAAATATCTAAAACAGTTACAAATTCAGAAGAGTGCATTCTTTTTTTTTAAAGATTTTTATTGGGGAATTGGGGGAAGGGGAACAGACAAGTTGCTATCCTTTTGTTCTTCAGTCTAGTTGTGGAGGACGTCACTTCACTGGCCCAAGTTGGAAGAATGCATTCTTAATGGCGTAGACTTTGTGGGAAGTAAATAAATGGAAGACAAAGATAAACCTGGTCAAAATGTGTTCCTGAAATACACATTCACCCTAACTCTCCAATTATACTTCTGACTAGTAGCCCTAACCTGCTTTAACTTCGGAAGTTAACTCATTATTTCTACCACCATTCAAGGCATTTGTTTCCTGAATTTCTTATCCTTGTGATGTTCTCTGTTATTCATTCTCTCTGCTTGTGCTTCCATTCTTGCTTCAAGGTAACATGACCAAAACCCAATTATTCGGTAAAACTCTCATCCCCCTAACAAAATAATCTCACTTTCCTCTCAACTGCACACATGATACCATCTTGTTCATATCATTTTACTTATGCACTGTCTCTTCAATTAAATCATAAGCAGTATGGGATTAAGATCTTTTTCTTATACCAAGTTAAATTTCCAGATCCTATGCATCATAGCATGCAGTAAATGTTGATAGTCCTACTGATGAGAAAATAATTGTACAAAAATATACAAATATTGTCATTATCCCCACAAAATGTCCACTCGCTCAACAAAATCTACCTAACGAAAGGGAAGATACTAAGTTCTTCTTATGGAATGGGTGACAAAATTATAATGGTAATATTGTTGTGGGAATATCATAACAGAGAATACTTAAAAAGACCTTTTAATAAAAAGACTGCACAGAATAATGTATTGGCCATGACATTTTACTGTCTCTTTAAGCGGGATGCTTGTCAGATTGCATGTATCTTGTAAACAATTTAGTCACATAATCTCAATCTAAATTTCCAGTTACCAGGTCCCGGTATTAAATAAGCATCTGCGGGGAAGATGTTACCTTCCAAGCTTCTGTATCTAGGAAATAGCAAACAAGCTATACTGTTTGGTTGTCATGGTGGCAACCCAAATCCCCATATCTCATTAATAGATTCTTAGACAAATCACATGGGAATATATAGACCATAGAAGTCACAGATTGAGATTTAACAAGTTACCTAATTGAACAAAATAAACAGTGAACCAGAATTTTGACAGTGTTTAATGGAGAGAGGGAGAATTAGACTTGCTACCCTAAACACCAACCTACATACACCATAACCTCCTGCTGGTGAACAATGGATTCTATTTGTGTTGACTTTTTTACTTGCTAGAGACCAAAGCCTTATTTAATGGATTGCTAATGTTATTTTAGCTAAAATTAAAAGCAAAATTTCTAAATTGTTAAGGCAATTTTTCCTGATGTCTATCAGTACATTATATTGCATGATTATCAATACATTGAAAATTCCATATATCTTTTTTTTTAAATCTATTACTATTAATACTATTATTATTTGTTTTTAAACTTTTGCCATTTCTACAAGCTAAAAAATAAAAAGTTCCAAGAGAGTGATGTGGTTTCTGAAGTCAGGGTTTAAATTAGATATAATTTCCAAAAAAAAAAATTAAAGATATAATTTCAAAGAATTTCAAAATGGTGCCTTTTTCTAGAACAAGGCAAGACAAGAAACGCAGCCTTGACTAAGAAAGAAGAAAAGGAGTCTTGCAGCTTTAACAATAGAATTCCAACCCACCATCTCAAATGTGGCTGAGATTGTTATTAAATTGCCTAGGGAAATGATTAACTAATAATTGATGGAGGGTTGGAGAAGGGAATGACTTCAGAAGATAGTTTTAGTTTGTCTGGCTTGTATTACTACATAGTACTGTTGTTGTCTTTATTACATTAAAAAAATTCCAAGTATTACATTTTTTTGTGTTTCTACAAACAGAAAATTGTTCAAGGAGGTTAATATGTGAAGAATATCTTGCCAAATCTGATGTTGAAAAACTCAACCAACCAACAAGTATATATCAAGTGCCTGGTATTCTTGCTTAGCAAGAACCCCAATGTTGCAGCTGAACAAAAAGGTAAAGAAATCAACAATTATTCTGAGAGACAAAAAATAAATTAAAAAATTAAAGAGCAACAAATGGGAGGTAATATTTGTTCTACTTTCCACTGTTAAACTACATGGTGCAAACTATAACGTAATATAGTGAAATCATTGAGGGCTGGAGGTACCTTCAAGAGGAAAAGGGGGGAAAATGGTTTAACCACAGTGGAGAATACGCTTGCATAGGTTGTTATAAACAGAAAATTATCAATTTACCTAAGATATAATGCAAAGGCTAAAAAAGAGACTTGGCTCTATTTGTGTGTTCTTTCCCTCCTCAGGAAAATAGACTAAAGTGGTAAAGGTGAAACAACACAGAAAGAACTGAAACTCGAGATAGGTGAAGAGATAGTAAGCAAATACCTATCTGTTTCAAATAAGTTCATGTGTCCAGGCACAAATTACATCCCACAGCTGTTTACAAGTAACCTAAGACCCATTGCTATTAAGTTCAGAGAAACTGTAAAAAATAAAAAAAGATGATAGATCACCTGCTTTTTAAAAATGTTTAAATGGTAGACACTAAAAACTTTAGAACAGAAAAGTAAAATTCCAGAATATATTTAATTAAATATATTTTATGAATATTTAGAAGAGAGTTTGGTAGCCACTAAGAAACAAACAAACTAAAGATAAGTCATATTATACTTTATACTTCCTCTTTTATTTGATCTTTGAGCTAAAGTGGGAACCATGTAGTCATGATATAAATTTCAGCAAAGCAGTTAATCCAATCTTTCATGATATTTGTGGATGAGACCCTTAAAACAAGAGCTTGATATAGTTATAATTCGGTAAGCTCAAAATTAGCTGGATAGTTATAGCCAAATTTCTGTTCATAATTTTTCATAAATTTTATAGGTTAAGACATAAAGATCATTCTCGTCAAATCAGAGGATGAAACAGAACCTATATACATAGAAAATATGACTGAAGACAGAATCAGGAAACAAAATTATATTAACAATTTGAACTCTGAGCTAAAATTTAAAGATACAATTTAACAGAAATATATGAAAATCCCTGCATTTGTTCAAACTGAAAAATAAAACTGCAGAAGTACAAAATAGGATAGATTCTGCTTTGGCCACGTAAAAGACACCCAGAGGTTTTAGTGTCTGCCAAGATCAATGTGAGTTAATAATATATATCTGGTAGCTTGTCGTGATACCTCTAATACTTCCATTTGAGAACACTGTGCCCACAAGCACCTGCC